AATGGAAAAATCTAATAACAATCTCATTTTTACTAAATCATTTTCTCTGTAATTCATTTTACTTCTTATCATTACACTTCCTGTATACATATCATTACGTATCAGACTAACGTGCACTAAGTATATTGTCCCCTAATATTAGATACACACTTTAAATATATCGATATCACGGTTAATTGTTCAGTTAGGGTTACAAGCTTTATACCATTTTTGTTATTTTTTGTACTATATATATATATATATATATATAATACAGATTTTGCCATCACTTTAATGTTAGCAAACTAACCCACGTTAGTTTTTAGCATGCATGATTTCTATTTCAAATTAGGCAGTGGTAAATAAAAAGAGGCAAAGAATTATTAGTCCCGCCTTTTACTAAATTGGTAATAAAATAGTTCGAATACCAATCATTAGTCCCGCCTTTTACTAAATTGGTAATAAAATAGTTCGAATACCAATTATTAGTCCCGCCTTTTACTAAATTGGTAATAAAATAGTTCGAATACTATTTATTTTCCGTATTCTGATTACAATCCTTCTGAAAATGTCCCTTACCCGGTTCTTTCACTAAGTACTTCATGACTTTACGTTATTAAACTCAGCAAAACTCGTTTAACGTATTTCATCTCACTGGAATAGAGATAAATAGTACTTAGCATCACTTGGTATGATGCTATTCCTCTCGGTCAACTCATGATAGTCAAAATTTACCACTATCAATTTCATCCGGTTAATATCTTTTTTGAGGAGTAAAATAATCAATATAATACTTCATACCTAAAACTATATAAGTATGTTTGGTACTTATGGCACAACCCTTCAACATTTGAATTTTTTGGGCGTAATACATTTATCAGTGTCAGCAAACTAAATCTGAATTTAAAAATAAATAGACAAATAAATAAATAAAATAGAAAATCAGAATTTTTGTAAGAGCCTGATAAGGACTACGGAGCGTGATCTATCTGACCTTTAATTTGCAGTTTAGAATATTCTTAAGTAGTGGTGTAAGAAAGTTTTTTAGTTCTAATTCCTTAAAATAATAATACACTATCTTTGCTACCACTAAATTTGAATGAATAATATTTGAAACAATAATGAACCCGTTGCAGAACTCTTATCAAAACTGCACCATTTACCGTAACACCAGTAATATCATAATAATTAAGCGCCATATATGTGAGACGATTTTATATGGTTCCCCTAAATTAATTATGAATATACATAGTTAATTTTTTATTATAGCACGTAGCTTATTTTTTTATTTTACCTAAGGGATTACCAACATTAATTAAGCATCAATGTCTTAAATAAAAGTATGGCAATTTTTTTACGGTTCTTCTACACAAATAAATACATTTACTCCGTTGCTTTTGCTTTTTAGTACTTAGCTAATTTCTTTCATTTCAATATCCATATGAATCACGATGGCTCAGGAGAAAGAGCGTTCGCTTTCCAATGCGGCGAACCGGGCTCGAATCCCAGTCTAAACGAATTCCGAATCCGGCTTGCACCGACCACAGTGCAGACGTGAAATATCCTCAGTGGTAGACGGATCATTAGTTGGAGTCCCCTTGCCATTAGCCTAATTGTGGGAGGTTCTCGTGGTCTTCCTCTCCATGTAACGCAAATGCGGGTTAGCTCCATCAAAAAGTCCTCCACGAAGGCAAATTTCTCCCAATACTCGATTCAGGAGCTCCCTTGTCTTCTGGATTAGGTTCAAAATTACAAGGCTACGGAGTTGAACATTCGTGGTCGTAAATCCATAAAATTGGGTCTGATGTTCAACGACGTTTATAAAATAAAATATGTATAAGTTGAATCGTGGAAAATGGTGATAGGTTTATCATTAGACAAGTTATTGATTTAAATTTTATAGGAATTTTATGAAATTTTGAACTGATTATTGGGCACAGAAATAGTAATTTGTACGTTTTACTTTTTAACTTCTTATATGGAGTTAAATTTTTTAAGTGACGGTAATATTAAAATTACTAAGCTTAAAATGTTTACTATTTCTTTAATTCCTTATTGAAAAGTGTTAACATAGAATCTTTTACAGAAGATTGCGTAGTTATTGTTAGCTTTGTTATTGCAAAATATTTTTGTAGTTGATTAATTGATTGATTAATTTTTGAAAAATTTGTTGAATGGCTACTGTCATTTAAATTTTCCATGTTATTAAAAATAGGGTTTACAATAAATAAACAGCCCTGGCTGATAACATATCTCAAAGTAAAAAGAATCTATTAGATGTCTTTAAACAAAATAAGAACATAATAAGATTATTAAGAAAGTATTGAAGAATTTTATTAATTGAAAATGGTAAGTGGGTCTAAATTATGTGCCTTATTACATTAAATTTCTTAGTTCTAAGTCTTCTATAGTATTTTAACTGTTGGTAATAAAAATGCTTATGATATTTATCAACCAGTTCGAAATATTTCTTACCTCCTCAGCGTTGTTCATAATCGGATACATTAATTTTGCTTATATCATTACAATTAAAAATAGTTCTACCAAAAGTTGCATTATGTTTAAAGCTTTTAGTTATGTTAAAGTCCTTTAATGAAACAAGTTTTTTAATTTTCAAAAATGTTATGAACTTTAACCAAATTGAAAATCGGGTTAGTTTAAAACAAAATATAATTTATTAAAAAATTTTCTGTTTATTTGGTGAAATTTCACTCATTTTGGCTTTCATAAGAAATATCTATCTATATATATTACATAAAAAGCTTCAAATAATATTTTTATGTTATTCCTTTATTTAAATCTTTTTCTTAACTCATTATTTTAATCTAAACGCTCCTTAATATTCACTTTAACATAAAATTTTAATATTCACATCCAGTCTTTTAATCTATTTTTGGCTTCAAGTTATACATTAATTAACATTTTTGATATTTCCCTTATTTTGAACCGTGAGAAAGACTTTTTCTCTCTACCTATTTAATGGACTGATTATAATTATTAAGATTTCCCTTATTCCTTACAAAGAAAAATTTTACGGATTTGTTATGCAAGATATTTTCTAAAGGCCTGGTTTCTTAGGACAGGACGCCGTCAGCTGGAAATCAGCTCTAACCTCTGATTGGTCCATTTGTGAGCCCGTGATATTGACGGGCTGGAGTGTTCAGTAGTAACTCACCAATAAGAATAAAACTAATTCATTTCTTTTGAC